GAATGCAGGGGTGCTCTAACCTTTATGACAAAGTATGGAAAAAATAATTAACTGCTTTCTTGATTTCATTTAAAAGGAAGTTATATGAATGCTGTGAACAGGCCTTTATACATACAAAATTTTATTGCATATATATATATATAAAGTATTCATTATACTTAAGTCTTATACATTTATGTAAAATTTTAGGATCATGATTGGTGCACACCCGGATCCAACACCCGGGTGTGCACCCTTCACATAAAAAAAAAAAAAATGGTATGCACCCGGATCTTTTTTTTTTTTATTTTTTATGGGGGTGTGCACACCTGGGTGTTGGATCCATGTGTGCACACATCATTTTCCAAAATTTTTACTATTTATATCTTTACTTTTAATAGTTAAAATTTATTTACCTTTATTAAAATAATTATTTTTTCATCTAAAAAGTTGATGAATCTCAATCATGAAAGTGAAACGATAAATAATTGAGATTTTGTATAAATGTAATGTGTAAAACTTATGTATAAGTGAATCCCTCTTTGTATATATATATGAATGTAGGATCCACTTACATATAAGTTTTATACACTATATTTACATAAAATTTAACAAATTTTCTCTTCATTTTCAATGGTAGAGATGTATCATGACTTTTGAGGTGAAAAATATATTTATTTTTAATAAATGTGATAAATTAAAGTGAATAAATTTCAACTATTAAAAATAGAAAGATGAATGATCAAGATTTTGTTTAAGTACAGTATGTAAAACTTATATCTAAGTAAATCCCTAATATATATATATATATATTTTTTTTGTTAGACTGGAGAGTTATCTACTTGGGGTGCAACGGTTTGAATTATATATATATATATAGAAAGGGTTGTGACTTAGTTTATAAGTGGATTTATTCTACATTTTATTAATCAAGATTTAATCGTTTAGAGAAACTAATGAGCAAATAATTTGTTATGATTGAATTACTTTCCCTTAATTAGGGAGAAATTAATTTTAAAATACATGTAGTTTAGTCTGTAAACATTCTAACTACTTAAACTAAAAAAAAAAAAAAAAAATGGTGTGAACGGGCCCACATACATACCAAATTCTATTGCATGTATATATATACATATATATATATATATTTTATGTGAGAAGGTTATTTGCTTGACAATATAGATGCTTAAATTATTGCATATATATATATATATATATATAAATGTGTTTTGTAGATTGTCTTCTTAAAATTTTTCAAAAAACCTATCTTCAAAAATTAACCATTAGATTAAAAGTATTATTTATATAGATCATGTATACCAATTTTTAAATTGTTCTAATAGGCCTAATCAATTCATTGATTATAAGAAATTTAACACTGTTAAATATTTATTAGTAAATAAAGATTTTTTTATTAAAAGATTATAAGTGTTAAATTAATATGAAAATTGACATGTATAATTTATATGAATAGAACTTTCAATTCAATGATCTATTTTTGAAAATGTTAATTATAAAGTGGACTTTTAGATAGGTTCTCCAAAAAACAATTTTAAGAAAACGACATTCTCCACACTATCATCATATATATATACATATATATTTGTAATTTAGTTAGTAGGAAGATTTGCATTTCATTTTATTGATCAAGATTTAATTTCTTAGAAAGATCAATTAGCAAATAATATCTCATGAATTTTCCTACCATGAATTACTTATCTTTGACTAGGGAGAGTTTAATCTTAAAATATGTGTCATTTGATCGGTAAACATTCTAACAATTAAAAAAAAAGGTTAAATGCTAATTTTGGTCTCTCAACTTTAAGGTTTTGTACCGTTTTCATCCCTAACTTTTTTTTGCACTTTTTTGATCCCTTAACTATGAAAAGTACATTTTTTTAGTCTTCCGGTAGTTAATCCGTTAAATCTATCTAAATCTACATATTTTGAGTCCCTCAACTTATGAAAAGTATGCATATATTAGAAGTTTAGGGACTAAAAATGTGCATATTTAGATATATTTAACGAAGTAACTGACGAAAATACTAAAAAAGTGTATTTTTCATAATTAAGAGACTAAAATAGTTGAGGGATGAAAATTTGCAAAATCTTAAGTTGAGGAACCAAAATTGACATTTAACCTAAAAAAATAAAGTGTACGTATATGAGCCAAAAATACCACAACATGTGCAACTAAGGATGTCAAAAATTGAGAGTTTGGATAAAATTGTTTTGGTGAAGCAAAATTAGAGTTGTAAGATTGAATTAGTAAAATTGAAAGTTTATCAAATTAATTAAAAAATTAAATATTATTAAAATTTAATATCAACTATTTAAATTTAAAATTTATTTAAAAACTATTAATTAATTATTTCAAGTCTTTGTTGAATTTTTTTTCATTGTCTAGTCATTAAATTAAACTATTTCAAATTTTAATAATTTTTATCTAAAAAATATATTTCACAAAAAATTGTAATTGTTCCATGTGAAAAATAATAAAATCTTGAAAGTTTTTCCTTCACAACTGAAATAAACCAAATTACATGGACAAGATTCGAACCATGGGGAACCAACATTTTAGGCGTTCAACTCCACTTGCACCACCAAGGATTAGATGTGAAGTTTTTCTCACAAATATTATTAAAACCTTAGAATTTTGAAACCCGATTTTACAATTTTATCACAATTTTATCCCCAAGTTTATGATATTCCAATTTTTAACCCAATTTAAATTGATTTAGATATCTAAAAACGTAAAATCATATGATTTTACAAATAGAATTGCAATTTCGACAATCATGTGTACAACAGTTAGTAGGGGACAAAACACTAAAATAATTCCCCCAAAAATAGTACAATGTATGTGAAACATAAACTCCACGTACCTAACTTGGCAAATATCCCAGTTAGTTTCTCCTTCACAAACAGGACAATCATGAGCATATACCAAACTTCTATCCATATATTGACAAGGAATTTGAACAACCGTTTCAAGTTCTGAAAAGGAATGAGTAGCAGGACCACATCTACCAATAGTCCATAAGACTGCACAATTACAAGTTCTAATAATTTTCCTAGAGAAAAGGTGTAAATAAGGAATTTAACTTTATTTTTTATTTAAAGATATTAACTTTACTAATTTCTATTAATTTCTAAATAAAAATGTTAATTTTTAACTTTTTCAATTTAAAAATGTTTTTTTTTTTTTATCAGCAAAATGAATTTATTAAAATTGGAGCACAAGGGGTACTCCTGCCCATTACACTCAATTTAAAAATGTTAACTTTCAACTTTTTCTATTTAAAGGTATTAACTTTTAATTTTTTATATTTAAGAATTAATTTGATGATAATGTTGATGTGGCAAATGTATTTTTTAAGGTTAAATGCCAATTTTGGTCCCTCAACTTAATATTTTGCATAATTTTCAACCCTCAACTTTTTTTGCACTTTTTTAGTTTCTTAACTATGAAAAATGCACTTTTTTAGTCATTTCGTAAGTTAATCCGTTAAGTCTATCTGAATCTGCATATTTTTAGTCCCTCAACTGCTAATATATGCTTATTTTTTGTTTATAACTAACGAAAAACTAAAAAAAAATGCATTTTTTTATAGTTAAGGGATAAAAAAAGTGCAAAAAAAGATTGAGGGATGAAAATTGTGTAAAACCTTAAAGTTGAGGAACTAAAATTAGCATTTAACTATTTTTTAATTAGAAAGTTGGCATCCTTAAATAAAAAAAATTGAAAGTTGACATATTTAAATAGAAAAAGTTAAAAGTTGTTATCCTTATTTAGAAATTGATAAAATTAACATGTTTAAATAAAAAAAGTGCAAAGTTGATATCCTTGTTTATATCTTTTCTCATTTTCCCTCACCATCAATTGGGTTTTTTTTTTTTTTTTTCCTTTTTCGAAGTAAAAGACAAACTTTTAGCTCCCATTCCTTTCATCCATCTAATCAATATGCTTTACAACTCAAATTCATGACCTTTTATTTATATAAAAAAAAATTATGACTTTTTACTTCAATTTCTACAAAAAGAGATTAAAGCTAATCAGCTTAATTTGTTGGCTTACTAACAACTTTTAATTCAAAGAAAATATCATTTCTAGCTACCCAACCTCAAAGCGTCCAAACTGGGGTAAACCACAAAACATCTCATACCTTAATAAATTTTGATCTTGACAACATATATAGAGTGTTAAGCAAATGCATTCATACAGAAACTTAAGGGTTGATTCATTGGTACGTGAAGTACTGTCTCCTTATAAGATTGGTTTAAAATTTTATTTTAAGATTAATACAAAAGAATTGAATTTCTTTAAATGTATCATACCAATGTGGTAAATTATGTGCTCTTGTAATCATTCAAGGTGGGATCCTCACCGTCCAAACAAGAAAAAAGAAGCTTCAACACAATAATATTCACAAACCCCACCATTTAATTAATGCACATTTTAGCAATTAAACATTCCAACATCTTGACAATAAATTGTAAACCCTAGTGCCTCTCTTCTCCTTTC